TTTGCCAGTTACTACAACTGAGGAAAGAGGAAAGCAGGGTAGGCATCTACCTCCCCCTTTATGAGTATCATTGTTCTAGACCTTTTGTGGATACTTTAATTCAGGATTTTAAAAGGCATGTTTGTTCTTTCTCCTGGAGCAGTTCAAGCATCTTAATGATCTCAAGCATATTTCTCCCCTCAGTGGTTTCCCTACTGTAGGAATGCTTTGCCTTTTGCAGACCCCAGTATAGAAGAAAGATCTTCAGCATATTAAATCAGTACATATTTTCATGATGAGCACAGACAATAAACCAGGCAGTGGATTCTTTCACAGCTTTTTATGGTCATCGACGAGACTGCACAGAACAGTTACAGAGTATTCAGGCAATTCCTGTGTGCTATGTGAGCCTCCCATAACACAAACCCTCTTTCTGAAAATGAACTGTCACCTGCATCAAAAGTGTTTCCTGGTGTTGGGGTTTGTAGACTGAAGAAGGCTTCATCTGTGATCATGCTTACTTTGCTGATTAAATTTTAAGATTGGAAGAAATGAGATGAGGGGATTTAATACATCTATGTTAAAGAATTTCTGCTTGACTTTTTTTTAAAATTTAATTTTATTTTGTCAATATTGACTTTTTGAATTAGTTGTTTTCATACAAAATTAACACTTGTTCATGATTAAAATTTTTTTTTTCAAAAGCTACAAGGGAAATATGAAAAGAAAAGTCCCATCTACCGGAGGCAACCACCGTTATGTTTTGTGTGTGTACAATGTTTTCACACATGCAAGCAAGCACACAGGGACTCAGTTGTGTATTCTTTTTCCTTAAAGCATGAATGGGATCATGTGATGTATTCTGTTCTGCAACTTGCTTTCTTAACAGTGATATCTTTCCATATCAAGACATACTGAACCATATTCTGCCTCAGGATTATTCCTTCTGCCTGGACCTCTTCAGGACTCACTTTCTTTCTTTCAGTCCTTACTCAAATGCCACCTTTTTAAGTGATGACTTCCTTAGCTGTTCTATCTAAAATTTCTACCCCTTCCCTATCACTTTCTTTCTCCCTTCCCTGTTAATGTCTTTCCTAGCACTGATAATCTAACATACTTTCTGTTTTGTTATCTGTTCCCCCACTGTGATTGATGTACACTGTATAGTGGAGAGGAATTTTTGACTGTCTTGTTCACTGCTATGTCCCCAACCTTCATAATAATGCCTGACACCATAGTAGATGCTCAATAAATACTTGTTGAATGAATGAATGAATGATTAGCTTGTTTTCACATTTGAGTACACCATAATTTATTAAATAATCTACTGATGAACATTTAGGGTTTTGTTTTTTTTTTTCAGTTTTTCCTACTTTTATAAGCAATGCTATATTGAAAAGTCTTATATGTGTATCCTCTTTTGGGCAGGGGAGACAGCTATCTGGTAAGAGGATCCAAATCCTTGACCTTAGTGTTATAACACCATGCTCTAACCGATTATATGTATGTCTTTGTATTATTTTATATCTTATAATTTATCCTAGAGGTGGAATTGTGAGTTTAAAGGATATATACATTTTAAATTTTGAATAATTGTCTATCATCTTTTCCCTCCCCTTAGAAAAAAGGTTATGTCAATTTACAACCCTACTAACAGGGTATGAGGACGGCCGTCTCCCTATACCTTTGCCTAAATCAGGTATAATCAACCTTTAAGCTTTGCCAGTCTGCTGGGTGAAAATGGTATCTCATCTTAATTTGAATTTCTTTCATTATGAGTGAAGTTGAGCACTATTTCATATATTTATTCACCTTTTGTGTTTACTTTTCTGCTATCTCTTTTTTTCCCATTGTTCTGTTAGGTTGTTTTGCTTGTGTTTTTGCCAGTGCATCTTTGTTTGCTTTGGTACATTTCCTCTCCTTAGGCTGCAACCAGATATAACCCCAGCGAACAATATACATCTGGGCCACTGCTATTCTATGCCTGAAAAGTTTCTAGCGTTGATGTGAGCATATTCATGTCTTATTCTTCCTCACATTTTTTGTTTGCTTGTTAATTAGTAAAAACAATCATATAAGCACATAGCAGATGTTGGCTATATGCTAGGCACTGTGCTTATCACTTTATTTTTATCATCTCTTTAAGTGTCACAGCAACCCTATCCGGAAGTACTAGTTTGTCCCCATCTATATAATGTTTATATACATTTGACCTTTGAACAACACAGGTTTGAACTGCATAGGTCCACTTATTGCTGATTTTTTTTTCTAATAAATACTGTAAATGTATTTTCTCTTCCTTATGGTTTTTTTTTTTTAACATTTTCTTTTCTCTGGCTTACTTTATTGAAAGAATACAGTATAAATACATACATAATAACGTACAAAATATGTGTTAATCAACTGTTTATGTTATCAGGAAGGCTTCTGGTCAATAGTAGGCTATTAGTTAAGTTTTTGGGGAGTCAAATTTATACATGGATTTTCGACTGTGCTGGGGTAGAGGGGAGAGCAGTTGAAAAATCTACGTATAAATTTGGATTATTATAACCCCCACATTATTCAGGGGTCAACTGTATAAAGAAACTGAGGGATGGTGAGATTAAGTGACTTGCCCAAGGCACACAGCTAGTAAGCAGCAAAGCCAGGATTATCAGCCCAGGCAGAGTAGCTCCAGGGCCTGCCCTAACCGCTAAGCTCTGTTACCTCCACTACGAGTCATGGATTATGTTGCCCATTGTCTGTTTTCAAGACACCTTTCTGCCCTTATGTCCCCATTCAGAAAATTGACTACAGTTGCTGAAACAAGGGAAAGTATTCATGTACAAGTCTGGGAATTTTATCTTTACTTATAAACTGGATTCCATTACATAGTTCAAAGTCAAAATGGTATAAAAATGTATACGGTAAAAAGTTTCATTCCTTCTCTTACCTCATCCACTCTATTTCCCCTGCCTTCTACTTTTATTAGTTTGTGTGTATCCTTTTTGTGTTTCTTTATATACTCACAAACAAAATAAATAAATAAATAAATATAAATGCATATACATATATACGTATATAATGTTCCATTTCTTACACATAAAGTAGCATACTATATACATGTTTTTACACTTTATTTTTTTCACTCAACTCATCCAAAAGTTATAAGACCATTTCATTCATCAGTTATTTATTGAGTGCCTCTTTATCCAGGGCACCTTGTTGGCTTTAGAGGAGTATTCAAAGAAGCATGCAACACAGAAATCTCTGGCTTCAGGAAGTTTGCAGTCTAGTTCTGTAATGAGAGCATAAGTGAACATAAAGCATGGTGTTTATGTGACATAGTGCTTTCTTGGCTGATTCTGGCCTCAATACAAAGCACCTTCAGCCTGCTGGAAGTAGTAAATATGTACCTTGGTCTTTGAGGCCAAGGTGAGAGATCTACTGAATTATAAGTTTCTAGAATACAAAAACTATGTCATTTATCTTGACAGGACTTTATGGTTTGAACAAATGAATCTGTACTTGTATTAAATATAGATTTCAAGGAACTATTTTATATCTTTTTCATGAAGTAAAAGGGAAGATTTTTAGAACCACTTTGATGTTAGAATTCATCCTGGCCTGAGGAGCCGTGTCAAGTTGGATTGAAATGAAATTTTCATGTGGCTAATATAGAACTGAAGGAGGAGGGCTTATTTTTAGAGGGGTTGTATTGGTGGAGATCTTTTTCCCTTATCGAGGCTTCCTCCTCCGTTTTCTTCTAGCCATGTGCAGAAAGTAGAAAAGAGTAATTTATCCCAACTACAGTATTTTAGGGCTATGGGCAAGATACTCTCAATTTATTTGTTTTGGATCTCAGTTTCAATGTATTACAACTTAATTCTGTAAAAAGGCATTTTATTCAGAACCCCTCCAGCAGTTCCAGACATTCCAGGAGCCATGTAGAAGCAGTGTGGTGTAGTAGTTAAAAGAGTGGACTCTGGAGCCAGCCTGCTAGTGTTAAAATTCTGAGTCTGCCACTTTCTTGCTGTGACAAATTACTGAACTTCTATTTGTTTTCACTGTCCCTAAGTAGATGCTATAAATGTTAGAGGTCTGTGAATTAATTCAGTTTATTTTCTCTACTGAGATATATAGCCAAGGGTAAGAATTGAAAGAGAAAATCTAGCATGTTATTTTTGTCTAAGCACTTTTCATCAAAGATTATAATGCAAACTATAAATGTAATATATTACATGTGTATAACCCATTCACTGAGTTCCATGCTTTGTATGATGCAAGGGAACATTCTTCTTTGAAGGGACATGAATCTCAAAGAAAAAAAGCCTAAGTTAAAGATCACATAAGGGCTAGGAGTAGTAATGGAACACGGTTTTCTCTTAGCCTCCTGCCCATGGGTGCCAGACTGTTCTCTGAAGAACGTTTTGTGACAGAGACCTTTCCTTCGAAAGCCTGTCATGTTGCAACAAGAAAAGGCTTTCTTTCCTTGGATGTACATTTTTGGCCACAAGATAGGCTCTGTTTTAGGGCCGGCCCGGTGGCGCACTGCTACAGTGCACCGCTTGGGAAGTGCGGTGGCGCTCCTGCCGAGGGTTTGGATCCCACATACAGACCTGCCGCTCGCTGGCTGAGCAAGGTGCGGGGGCAACACCGAGGGTTGCGATCCCGTTGCCGGTCCCGGTCCGGTATGGGCGCGACACTGAGGGTTGCGATCCGTTGCCGGTCACGAAAAAAGACAAAAAAGGAAAAAAAAAAAAAAAGATAGGCTCTGTTTTGGCCATCCTTTTTGTTGTAGGAGTCTGGTGCCTTGCTGCCACATGCCTGGTTTGGGAGAAAGGGGGAAAACTCTGTGGTTCTGTACAGTGATAAGGTGGGTAGGGAACATGGCCTGTCTGGGTGTGCCTGTTCTCCCTCTCTCGCACCTCTGGGAACTCTTCATGCAGTGGCTGCAAAAGAAGGGAGTTGTATTGCTTCAGGGTCTTATGGATATTTGGACATTTTCTTTGCATCATAATCATTCTGATCTGTTCCCTTAGGCTTTTTATTGAGAAACTACCAAAGCATCGAGATTACAAATCAGCTGTCATTCCTGAAAAGAAAGACACAGTAAAGGTGGGTCTTCACTTTCATTTTTGCCCATCTAAACGTTTCAAAGCAGCACAGAATTACTTCAAGATAAAATAGTAGTTTTTGCATCTGAGCATCAAGTCCTGCAATAGGAGATAAGGCCATTTCACCAGAATAGTTATGAGTGGCAGGTAGAGTACCGTAAGGGGCATTTAAAATCATTTTTGGAAACATTGTTGCCATTGCCAACTTGACTTAAGTCTTCTTTTTACTCCTCTACTTAATTAGCTGGTGTCATTCTAATTCTTAGTTTTCTGTTTTGTATCTCAGAAATTAAAGGAGATTGCATTTCCCAAAGCAGAAGAGCTGAAGGCAGAGCTGTTAAAACGATATACCAAAGAATATAGAGAATATAATGAAGAAAAGGTCAGTATATAACAGCAAGGAAAAAGAAAGGAAATTATTTTGGTTTCTTAGGCCATGCCCTGGGATTATAATATGATATTTCAACAGATCCTGCGATTTTAATGTGATATTTCACTTTTTGGGGGTGAAGGCCAGAAACTCCAAACAGTAGAACACCAGTGGTTAGCCTGACTATTCTAACACAGATTTAGCCTACTTGTCCAAGATTGTGACTTGAGAGAAAATCTATTCCTGTCTGCTGTACCTAGAGTGAGAAAATTCATTGCTCTGTATCAAGAACAATGAAAATTCTCACCTAAACACGGGTTTTTAGATCAGAGAATTTGGGGGGTTGATTCATATTTTGTTATACCTGAAACTATTTATAATAATTGATTTTTCCAGCTATTTTCAAATGATTCCCATTAGAAAGAGTCCATTAAAGCATGTAGAGAAACTCCTAGGGCACTGCAGGTGGTCTTGTGTCAGATGTGAATGCTTACTGCAAGCCCTTACATTTTATTGTGCAGCTATCTGCTGGGCTCTATTCTGGACTCTGTTGTTGTTGCAAATCAGCAGAAGTGGGAACATCTATAAGGCATATTAATGCTTTAATGAAAGAGTTTAGTAATTACTTGATACTTCTTATTAGTTTAAAATATCACTCTGTCTTGAACTGATCATCAGAGAAATTATGGAGGCTTCATTTTGGGTTAAAATTCAGTAGAGATCCCCAACATAGCAGGTACAAGTTTGGATTTGGTTCTATTTTATAACCTTACTTGGGATACAGAATATACAGACAGTAAATTACCTCAAGATCTTAAGGCTGGCCTAAGGTTAGTTCAGTTTATTAGAGAGTGGTGTTATAATACCAAGGTCAAGGGTTCAGATCTCCATACCAGCCAGCCACCAAAAAAAAAGATTTCAATAAAGAAGAAAACGCATAAGGTAAAGTCATTGGGGGAGGGTGCCAAAATGATTGGGACTCAAGCTGTTCCTGAAGATAGGTATAAAGTGGCTAGATAGAAATCAGTGGTGGCTATATTCCATGGATATAGAGGTACCAAGGGAAGCCTGAATTCTGTGTTGGGAAATCAGGCCAAAGCAGAAGTACATTTTGGAAATCTTCCTACTGAGGAGCCTTGTGCTCCTGAGGTGTGAAGTCACCTGAGGTGTGAAGTGCTAGCCTAAATCCTTTTCTTTCTTTGTAGAAGAAGGAAGCTGAGGAGTTTGCCCGGAACATGGCCATCCAGCAAGAGCTGGAAAAGGAAAGACAGAGGGTAGTACAACAGAAGCAGCAGCAATTGGAACAGGAACAGTTCCATGCCTTTGAGGAGATGATCCGGAATCAGGAGCTCGAAAAAGAGCGACTGAAAATTGTACAGGAGTTTGGGAAGGTGGATCCTGGCCTAAGTGGCCCGCTGGTGCCTGACTTGGAGAAGCCCTCCTTAGATGTGTTCCCCACCTCACCTGTCTCGTCCACACAGCCTTCAGACTGTAACACAACAGTAAGGCCAGCTAAGCCACCTGTGGTGGACAGGTCCTTGAAACCTGGAGCACTGAGCAACTCAGAAAGTAGTGAGTCCATTTGTCCTCTCCTATCTCCAGCGTAGCCAAAACAGAGTAGTCTTCTGGGGGTTCAGCCTGAGAGCACCTCTACAATCCTACTTACTAGGTTGTGGTTACAGCAACCCATCTGATAAGTATTGCCATACTGTGTCCTATCACACCATCTATGTGATAAAAGTGGCCTTTGCTTAAAGCATAATTTATCTGGGGCCAAGTTGGTTTTCTGGAGAGCTAATACTATCCTTCAAAGTCAGACCCTCAAATTTTAAGGGTTATACAGAGATTAGAAATGCTCAGTGAGTTAGAGACCACAGTTTGCCTTTCGTAAACATAAGTTTGAAGTTTATTGTACCACTGAGCAATTCAACAACTGACTTTTAAAAAATAAAAAAAGGCTACTAAATTGTGCTTGCCCTGAAAGCATTCGTAATATTTAAGGAGCTTAATCAAGATAAACATTGTATAGTCGGTCATGACTCAGTCTAGCCATAAAAACTACAGAGAATCTTTCCTCCTCTAAACAACAATTGGCAATCTGAGAAAATAACAATAGAGGCAAAATGATGAGTATACCTTGATCATTAGAATAAATTTTGGGGGGTAGGAATCGACTTTTAAGTAGTCATTTAAAGAAGTCAGCTTTGCAGAAGATCTATTTAAAAGTACAATGTAAGAATGGATAAGGAGGGCTGGACTCTGAACCTGGCCTTTAGAGCTTTTCCGCATTTACTTGGCAGGCTTATCTCCCACTCCTGTTCCTTCGCACATATCCTTTGCTCTGGTGAAATTGGACTATCATGTTCCCAGAACATTCCCTGGACTATCTTACCCAAAGAGGTTTGTTAACATTTGCCTTCTACCTGGAATCTCTTTTCTCTATTTCTGCCTTCCCTGCTTTTCTTGAAGTTTTTCCAAATACCCCTTCAATCAGATTGATTCCCGTTCTCCTTAAAACTCCCAGAGTTTTTTGTTATCTCTAATGCAATTTAAATCACTCACCTGATAGTGTAGTCTTTTGTCAATAACTAGATTTTAACATCTTGCAGGTTAGGGCTTGAGTCTCATTCATATTTGTGTTCCCTGTGAGCTGAGCACAGTTCTCTTTGGTATGTACTTGGTAAGTGATTATTGAATTGAAAGGAAAGGACTGTGCCAAACCTTAATTCATAAGGTGCTGTCGTCAGACTTTGGGTGACTGTGTGTCTCCTGGTCTGACTTTGTTACCTCTCCAGCAGTCCAGATCTTGCTGTTGAATATGCAGAAGCAGAACACCTTTCTTCACGTTTTTTACCCCCAATCTGAAAATATGGCTGTGAAAGGTGCTTCCTAACCTTATTGCTGACTGTCTCAGGGTTCCTCCGTGATGTTCCAGAACGGGGTCCATTCTTGGCTCCTGAAGCAGGTTTTATGAGCCACTTTGTTTATGCCTTTTTGGGGAAGCCAGACTATGATTTTTGTTATTTTGTTGTTTTGGTATTTTAACTTTCTTCTGAAATACTAAATTCAGAAGTAAATACCCAAATTATTTTCCATTATCAAGAATATATCCTGTATATTTCTTTAAAAGTCATACTCTCTGATATTCTTATCTGAAGTAAAAGAGAGATTTGAGATAAAAATAAAAGTTCAGTTGAATGGGGAGTATTTTAGCCTATTTTGCATTGCTATAACAGAATACCTGAGACTGGGTAATTTATAGTGAACAGAAATTTATTTGGCTCACATTTCTAAAAGCTGGGAAATTCATGATTGAGGGGCTGCATCTGACGATACCCTTCTTGCTTGTATGACCCATTGCAGAAGGGCAAAAAAAACATGGGAGGAGGGGGGGACTCATCCTTTTATCAGGAACCTACTCCCATGATAACTAACCCATTCCTGTGATAACAGCATCAATCCATTCGTGAGGGCTTCACCTCTTAAAAGTTCCAATTCTCAACACTGTTTCACTGGGGATTAAGTTTTCACACATGAACTTGAAGGTAAACACAAACTTGATATTAAAAAAAAAAAAAAGAGCTCTGGGAGTTTTAAGGAGAACAGAATCAATCTGATTGAAGGGGTATTTGGAAAAACTTCAAAAAGAACACATTCAAACCATAGCAGGGAGGTTATTATTATTAGGTTATTGTAATTTTTTAATCCTTTGTATTAGATTCTAACAAAGAATTCCCAAATATCTCAGGAATTTTTTCGTAAGTAAAAATTTAAATCTTACTCTTTTCTCGATGTAATTTGCTCCCGATATCTGTGGCCAGAAATTGGAGAAGATACTTTACAACCCTTTTTTGGTGCCATTAGGATGAGATCCCCACTCTGCCTGAACGTGGGGGGATCCCATTGATTTAGCATTGCTCTCTCAGGTCTACCAGCTGTGAGGTCTGCTTGGGGAAGGCTCAGCCCCATGATCTCAGACTTCTTCCCTTTCTCTACTACAGTTCCTACAATCGATGGATTGCGCCATGTGGTAGTGCCTGGGAGGCTGTGCCCACAGTTTCTCCAGTTAGCCAGTGCCAACACTGCCCGGGGAGTAGAGACCTGTGGAATTCTCTGTGGAAAACTGGTAAAAAAAAAAAAAACTCTTTCCTGAGCTGAGACTGTTTCTTACCCCTTGGCCTCCTGTGACTCTCAGAAAAGATATCAGTTACTCTGCACCACTGAAGGAACAATGGACTGCATAATATAGCGTGTAGTGTCACTTTGAATTTGGTGACCCAACGGAATTATTTGATTGATTTTCAGAGTCCCCTGAATTGAACTGATTATTTTAATGCTAGTAGTAAGAAATACCTAATCTATACTTGGTAGGAAGATCCAGTCATCACCTATATATCATTTTTTGAACACCTATGTTATGGTAGGACCTCAGCATATAATATATAAGGCAAATATTACCTTAAAAAAAAAGTGCCCAATCACTTTGGAGATATGGGAGACATACACCAAAAGAAAAATAGCATGTGGAATAGAATGTACAATATGAGCACTAGGAATTTTGAGGAAAGAAAGATCACCAAATGGAGGTACTTAAAGAACCCATTGCTAACTGCTGAATGAATAAATGAATGAAGTAGAATAGAGTTAACCTAAGCCTTACAGAATGAGAAGGACTTAATGGAACAGTGAAAGGGAAACTAGACATGAGTAGAGGAAGAGAAATGGTACCCTACCCAGAGCTTCTCAAGAACCCTGAGTAGAACCATTTGGCAGCAGCAGGAAATTCCCACAGGGTGCTGGTAATTGCTGAGGCTGAACACAAAGTTCTGAGGTTGGTTGCAGCATCTGTTGTGTTACAGGCACTCATGCAATGTGCATGAGCAGCTAAGGTGGTGAACCACTGCCGTAAGGGACTTGGGGAGCTCGAGAGAGACTCATGCTGGGGTGGAAAGGGCCTTCCCCTGTGTAGATGTTAAACGACTTTCCACTGTTATGACAGAGTGGGGCTGCATGAGTGCCAGGGAATTGTGACAAGCTGTTTTCTCCTTTGGCAGATGAGGAATGAATTTACCGTTACCCATGTTCTCATCCCCAAGCAAAGCGCTGGGTCTGATTATTGCAACACAGAGAACGAAGAAGAACTTTTCCTCATACAGGATCAGCAGGGTCTCATCACACTGGGCTGGATCCATGTAAGCAATTCTGAGCCCTCCGAGGATTAGCCTCTTCTCTCATGGTGTTATAAATACACTGCTTATTTCATTCTTTGAACGAAGTAAATTATATCCAAATTATCTATTGCTTTTCCCTCCTTTGGATATAGTCCTTAGCATACTTGACTGCTTGTACTCCAGTATTGATTTCTTTTTTTTTTTTTTTTTTTTTTTTTTAAAAGATGACCGGCAAGGGGATCTTAACCCTTGACTTGGTGTTGTCGGCGCCACGCTCAGCCAGTGAGCGAACCGGCCATCCCTATATGGGATCCGAACCCGGGGCCTTGGTGTTATCAGCACCGCACTCTGCCGAGGGAGCCACGGGCCGGCCCCTCCAGTATTGATTTCTGAGAACTACTTAGGACTTTTTAATTTTTTAACTTTTTTTTTTTTTTTTTTTTTAAAAGATGACCGGCAAGGGGATCTTAACCCTTGACTTGGTGTTGTCGGCGCCACGCTCAGCCAGTGAGCGAACCGGCCATCCCTATATGGGATCCGAACCCGGGGCCTTGGTGTTATCAGCACCGCACTCTGCCGAGGGAGCCACGGGCCGGCCCCTCCAGTATTGATTTCTGAGAACTACTTAGGACTTTTTAATTTTTTAACTTTTTTTTTTTTTTTTTTAGTAAAAATAGACTAAAGTTTCCCTAAAGTTCCAGTTTCCCTGTGAGTGTGAATGGTTATGGTATGCTGGAATATATGTGGATATTGACCATAGAGACTGTGTCTGCTTTATACAAATGTTGTTCCTAAAAGGTACATAAATCAAAATTTTTTAAGTGAGCCAAGGAAGTTAATTCAGATGCTTGCATTCGGTCTTTCTTAAATCAGCATGTAACTTTATGTACCAATAAAGAAGGGCCACCAATATACCTGGTTTTTAAGTGTCTACATATCTTGTGTAGTCTTCTGGTAATGTTCAGGTAATATATAATTCCTTCCCTAAAGATTATTTCTTAATTTTTTTATTTCTTTTCAACCTCTCACTCTCACAGACCAAGCTGCTTTTCATGTTGTGTGACAGAGGTACAAATAAGTCGGTGTATTACTGGATTTGGGAAGATGACACATACTTTTATGTCAGAATTTGGGAAATACTGGCCTGGGAGGCAGTCCCATGTGCCTTCTGTCCTTTCTTTGGTTCAGTTACATAAATATTGACTGATTTGCTTGCTACTGTGTATTCTCCCATTGCAGTAGATGGGGAATAGAAAACTTGTTCCCTGTTTGCCAAAGTATACAAATTTGAGTAAGGTATAATTTTAGTCTCATAGTGGAGATTAAACAAATAGACATTTAATAACTCTTCATGTGAGGCAGGATATGCTAAGGGCCTCAAGAGGTACCAACAGGGCACTGTGAAATTCAGAGGAAGGAGGGATCATACCTGGTATGATTTACAGAATTTTGATAAGATGGGCCAAGGGAGAGTTCCTTATGGAGGGGACAGCTTCAGGAATAAGCAGTCTGTGTTCCTGGAGCATTGAGGGTCCAGAGTGCTGGGATTTATGATTCATACCAGGAAATGGTGGAAGATATGTTGTAAACATGATACGTTGGAGCCATGTTCTGCAGGGTCTTGAGCGGACAGGCAGAATAGTTCTGCTTTTTAGTAAGTGAAGAACTTACCAAAATCTGATAATAATGAGGGCTGGGGTGATGGTAGTGTTTTGGGGAGGGAGTGGATAAATATAGGATTTCAAAGGATTTAGGGAATGAGTAACAAAGGATGATGAGTAAGAGTCCATGCTGACTCAGAGATTTCAAGCCTGGCTCAGGGAGGTGGCAGTGATCATCTCATAAGCAGAGACAGGATCCAGGAGGAGGACTTGCTTTGTAGGTGGGATTCAGTTCTGAGCATGTTGAATTTAAGGTACTGATGAGACATCAAATGTTGGAGGTAGTTATCAGGCAGTTAGAAATGTGAGGCTAGAACTTGGGAGCAAGGTCAAAGCAGGAGAGAGAGATCTAGGAGTTCTCTGCATAGAGCTGACCTTGGAAGCCTTGGAAGTTGGGGGGAGTGTCAAGAGCAAGAAGAGATTCACTGGCAACTTGAGGGACAGGTGACCTAGGGGAGCACAGAAAGTAGGCAGTAAGGAAGCAAAGAGACAAATGAGAAAGGCAAGGGTAGTGTTACAGCACAGAAGCCACAGAAGGAGGAATGTTTTAAAAAGGAATTGCAGGGTATTAACCATGTCACATGCTGCAGAGAGCCCCAGAATGGAGAAGACTTGGATTAGCCTGTTGGATTTGGTGAGGTCATTGAGGACCTCAATTTAGTGGGTTTTAGGCAGTGGTGGGAGTAGATTGTAAGGGTTTAGGAAGTCATGGGGATTGACGTGGTGACGATAGTTAAGAGTATGCTACCATTCCAAGAAGCTTCACTGTGGAAGAAAGGAGAGAGACAGGATGGTGGCTTGAGGAGTAGCTGTGTTGAAAGATGTTTACTTGATGTGAGAAGACTTGAACGTGTGTTTTGTTTTGATTTTGTTTTTTCAAAAGCTTTATATTTTGAAATATAACCCATATATAAGTAAAAGGGTACTCCAAAAAATTCGTGGAAAAATGGAATTAAAAGATAATGCACATCTTTCCATGAACTTTTTGAAGACCTCTCATACATTAATGAAATGAACACTTTAATGAATCATTAAGCAAAACATCTATGTGCACACACTAGCTAGATCAGGAAATCAAATACTGCCAGAAGCACAATCCCACCCCAGTCGTACTTCCTCCCTGGTAAAGGTAACCCCTCTCCTGACTTTTCTGGTCATCCTTTCCTTGCTGTCCTTACAGATTTATCAACCTAAATGTGTATTCCTAAATGTTATAATTTAGTTTTGCCTGGTTTTCACCATTTTTGTAAATGGAATTATACAATATGTATCTTTTGTATCTAGCTTCTTTTGCTTAACATTTTGAAAGTTTATCCACATTGTGCGTATTGTTGTCTGAATGTGTTTTTATGCACAATTAGCCAGTGGAGGAGATGTAAAAGGGCAAGAGAAATAAGATAATGTGGCTGTAGGAAAGTAGTAAATCAAAAGTGCAAAAGCAGGCTTATCTTCATGGGGGCGGAAAAACGCCCATTCCTCCAAGACAGGATCAAAGAAAGAGAGATGGAAGATACAGACAGATTTTTAAAATGATGTTTAGAGGGGTTGGGAGAACTCATTTTAGACAATCTTGATTTCAGTAAGATTGGAGTATAGGTCTGCTGTCAAGCAGGAGGGAGAAAAAGGTGGATTTAGAAACTGGAAGAGATGGGGAAAGTTTGGAATAGTTACTGTTTAGACTTCAGGTAGAACTTAGCCACAAAAGAATAAAGGGATTCCTAAATATCAATGAAGGCCCATCTAGGATCATATTTACAGCCTGAATTGATAATAGTTCAGCTTTCTTTCCTCTCATGATATTTCTGCACCATTCCTTCCTAATTTTGGATTAATAACAAACAAAAAGCAGACCATAAGGTTTGCTCAGATGTTAAAATCTGAGCAAAAAATCTGAGAGGAGAATGCAAAAGGTCAGTTCTTCCTTCTGCACCTAAATGAGCGTCTCTATTCAAAAACTTTGCGTGGTCATGTATTGATCACCAACTACTGTCAAACCCCCAACCCAGTGTTCCAGGAACTCACCTCGTCTCAGCCTTGTCCTAGCCCTCATTGCTCTCTCAGGTGGCCCTCCTGCTCCCATCTGGGCACCCAGGCTGCCCTCAGCATTCATTCTCCTCACTCAGTTCTGCTCCTTTGGCATATTGTTTTCTCTTCATGAAAGTGCCTTCTTCTATCCCCAGAAGAGTGGACATAGTGAGCAAAACTATTCATTCAAGAAACTTGACTGTGAAAGGAAGGAGGGAGAGAAGACACAGTAGTTTATACGGGAGCAGGGAATCAAGGCAAAGCTTTTTGGTTCCATTTAACAATTATTTAACTGAGCCCCTGCTGTGTGTCTTTTTATTTTTCTAGCCACCCAACTTTAGATTGCAGGCCTAGTTGGCTGTCAGTTAGAATCCTAGGCTCTAACTATGGGATGAAAGGTGCTGGCACAGGCCATTGCTCTCTAATAGTCTAAAGGATTATGTTGTCATCATGTAGAAACTGATTTTTTCCTAGGGCCGGCCCATGGCTCACTCGGGAGAGTGCGGCGCTAGGAGCACTGAGGCCACGGGTTCGGATCCTATACAGGGATGGCTGGTGCACTCACTGGCTGAGCGTGGTGCGGGCGACACCATGCCAAGAGTTACGCTCCCCTTACCAGTCACAGGAAAAAAAAAAGGGATCCCTATATAGGGATGGCTGGTTGAGCGTTGTGCTGACAACACCAAGTCAAGGGTTAAGATCCCCTTACTGGTCATCTTTAAAAAAAAAAAAAGAAACTGATTTTTCCTTGTGGTCATTAAAGTTGTCACATGCCCAATGAGGATCTGGGTGTGGATTTGCTGCCAGCACTCAGCTAACATGTTCCTGCCCTGAAGACCTCTTCCATAGTGAGCTTGTCACGGCATTCAGTGGAATGGTGCTTCTCAGATGAGGTTGCATGTAAGAATCATTTAGTGAGCTTTAAAAAAAAGTTCCCTCTGAGGATGAATAATTCCAAGGGTGGGGCACAAGAGTCTGTTCTTTTGACAAGCTCCTCAGGAGACATGTTTTTTGCATAGCAGGTTTGAAAACACTAGTTAATTGCATTTGTTTCTTTTCTGTGCTTTTCTGTCAGTGAGATTGGTGGGAGGTCTTTTGAGTCATATCGGATCTTTCTTTTTCCATTTTTGTGGCCTAAGATCACACCACCTCTAAGATGAACATAAGTCATTATATAGTTGTCTGTTTTGTATGCAAAAAAATGTGCTTAATAATATGTAAAGTAATTGGAAACAAATGAAATAAACTGAATGCACATTTAGATAGTGTTTTAACTGATTACTGTCAAATTTCAACATCATCTTCTACTTCTAAACAAGAAAGGCTCTTTTGTATGATGTAACCATCCACTAAAATTGGAGTAGCCCCCTGCCTCCCATATCTTCCTTAGATGATGCTGTAACCACAGGACAGCATTTGCGTGTAGAGCCCCAGACTTATACTTGACCTTTTAACACCTCTGTTGAGAAGAAGAATCATTCATCTCATTGTGGTTTATTAAGTCCTTGGCTTCTACCATGTTGCAGTATTGGGCAGCATGTATCATCTGTTCCAGAATGGGTGACTCTCCATGATGTACAGAGAGTCAGATAAGTCTTGACAGTCAACTAGAAATTATGAGTCTCTTGAACAACCAAAGCCTGAATCATCCAGAGATACTCACACTTCTTAGAGAAGATAAAAAGGAAAAATTTCCAGAGGAAGTTCCTAGGGCCACTGTAATGCCACAATTGTTGAGGACACCCACCTACCTCGTCCATAGATGCCCGTCATGATCACCCCACTAACACCTTTGATTCTATGGATCCTAGGGTGGACCCAACCTCAAAGTCCTTAAATTCTTCCAATTTGGTTCAAGAGCAGGAGAGCCAGAGCAGTAAACATCAGCAAACAATCTCCTCTCCTGTCTCCAAGCCTGAGATGCAGATGTCTCTGCCTGCCTCTGTTCCCACTATGCCTGTGATCTCTGCATGGCAGGTAGCCTCAACCATCGCCATTCCCCCAGTGCCCACGGCACTGGTCTCCCCTCTTGTCTCCAGGCCTGCCCAAGAGAGGCAGGTACGCTCACTTATCTTCTCACCTGGGACACCTGGGACGCAGGTGTCTCCATTGCACAGGCTGAGACACTGGTGTGCTCTCCCTGTCTCCACACCCCCAACTCCTGCAACATCAGTCTTCTTGCCAGCAGTTGCCACAAGAGAGGGCTCCTGTCCTGTCTCTGTACCCCCAGAGTCTGAGGTACAGCTCCTCACCCATCTCCTTGCCTGCTGGGCCTCCAAGGCAGGTCTTGCACATTTAGGTGCCCCTGACGTCAGTTTCCACACCCTGGATGACACCAGGGTCCTCATATGTCTCCACAGCCCTGACTCCTGCATGCCCTGAATGAAAGTCTAGTCTTCAGTTCCATGCCTAAGCCCCCAGTGCGGTTCTGACCTAGGTGTCTTAGCCAGTTTCCATGCAACATTGTCCCCGATGCTGATGACCATGCCCGTCCCCCCACCTCTCAAGGCCCACCACGCTGTTCTCCTGGCCTGCACACATCAACCCCAGGGAAACCTTTTCTGGACACCTGGAACCTAGAGCTTGATTTTCCTTCTAGAGGTCACAACTAGTTTAATTGGAATATGACACAATGTCAAATTCTTCTCTCTTGTCTATTCTGACCTTGGAATGCAGCCCATGGCCCCCTCTGCAGAGGTCTTTGAGTTTCAGCACTGAGATCAGTATCTTTCCCCCATGATGCCCCAGATGGAAGGTTTGAGTTCTGTCTTCAGGCCCTCTCCACACCCCGCTAGTTAATGGTTTCCCATTTGCCCACTGCCTTGATACCCCTCTACCCTCAAAGCTCTGCAGCCTACAGCTTTCCATCCGACCAGGAATTCCAGAACACATCAGGCCTACCCTCGGGAACCAGCAGTATCAGAGTTCCCCTTATGAGGGCCAGAGAGAAAGGTTTTCCCCCTTCCATTTGCTCCCCTCTTTTTGTCTGCATACCCTCCCAGGCTGCCTAACCTCTTCCACTGTTTTCAGACATGGGAAGTCAGGAAGTTTCAAGCCTCATTGTCCTCAGTTTACTCTTACTCAATACAGCCTTGCCACCTGGCCCTCTCTCTCTGAGAAGTCATATGAGTGAATTAAATGAAATATGGTGGGTTATTTTGCATGTAGTCTATAACTGTGAGGTAGGATGGTATGCAGTTGCCTGGGCTTAACACTGCATTGCTTTCTGTTAGATGGAAATCACCCAGTCAGTCAGACCCTCTACGGAATCCCAGAATCATGGTTCTGCACAGTGTGTGTTAGGGCATCTCATACATTCAGCTACCCAGAAACTGAAGTGTGAATCTCCCATCCACTGTGACATTTCCCCACAGTGTGTAAAACAAAATCCCTAACTATTTAGCTTTTGTTCTACTGGGGCTGAATCCATCTAAATTATTTTATTTTCTTAATCACTTTCATCCCCTTCCCCTCTCTCTTTGTATTCCTCACCACGGACAACTCTTTCAAGTTCCAAAAATTGCTTATTCCCCCTATTTCCTTGAAGTCTTTTATTCATTTTATTCGTTGTTTTCTAGGACTTTATAATAGATACATACATTTTTTTCTCTTTTTTTGACAAATAAAAATCGTATATGTATGTTGCGTAACACGATGTCTTAAAATATGTACACATTGTGGAATGGCTAAATCAAACTAATATATGCATTACTTCACATACTTATTCTTTGTTGATGAGAACACTTAAAATCTACTCTCAGCAATTTTCAAGTATATAAATATTGTTATGAACTGTAGTCACCATGTTGTACAATAAATCTCTTGAACTTGAAATATTGAGTCTCTTCACATATTTATGTTAAACTGTACTTGTTTACAATGCTGGAGAGGAACATCCTTACTTAATATGAACTTCAGGTGTACCTCTCATGGTTACATGGCTTTGTGCTTGAAAAGGAAATTGTGGCCAGTTTTTGAGAATTATTTGGCTCTACCTTCCTTCACGGACCGGGCGTGGCTGTACATCCTCACTGAGAGTTCTCTTTTTTTCCCCTCTTTTCAGACTCATCCCACGCAGACCGCCTTTCTCTCCAGTGTTGACCTGCACACTCACTGCTCCTACCAAATGATGTTGCCAGAATCAGTAGCCATTGTTTGCTCCCCCAAGTTCCAGGAGTGAGTACACAGAACATGGTTCTGGGTGTTACAAGAAGGTAGTAGGGAAGAAGGCCTCAGAGGAAAAGTTCTCTATTCTTGAGAACTTGCTCTTTTTAAAATATAATTGTACTATTTTAGATTGTAGTATTAATTGGCTATTATAAAAGGCATTCTTTTAAGCCCTGTATCCTGATAAACCTACTATGCTTGTTTAAAAAGATGTTTGAGCAAGGACTTAGTTGCTTTTCTAAGAACATCTGCAAGGGATTTGAAGTGTCTGACTCAAAGCAATAGGAATTTCAAGAGTACGCTGTTAGATTAGAGAATTTCAAAATCAAACAGATTGTCTCAAAGCGTTACTTCTTTTTCATTCCAAATCCTGTTATTTACTACAAATTCTCCCAGCAAAACCAGTGTGGTGGCAATGATGAATCATTCTCTAACTATGATTCATTCACCGGAGAAGAGACCTATGAGCCAGCATCCTACGGAAGCTGTCTCAAAATGCCCTCTGCCCAGCTGTGTGAGGGTGCATGCTTGTGTGTGCATGTGTAGGGATAGGGGGACACCTTTGCTTGACTCTGAGTCTGCCTTTTCTTACTTCAGAACTGGATTCTTTAAACTAACTGACCATGGACTAGAAGAGATTTCTTCCTGTCGCCAGAAAGGATTTCATCCACACAGCAAGGACCCACCTCTGTTCTGTGTATGTGTTTATGTAGAAGGAATTGTGCTTCAAGCAGGGAGGACAATCAAAGCTGATGAGGTGCCTCATCCTTTCTGACTCATATAGAGGACCGGCCTTGTCACTTATCTTTCCAGATCTCCATAATGAGAACATACATGGGAAGCAGTGTGGGATGGGAACAGATTTGAATGTTAGCTCTGCCACTTAATGATGGTATGTCTTTGATTAGATGATTTACCCTTCCTGGGCCTCAACTTTCACATGTGTAAAATGAGAATAATCATAATAACACCTACTTTATAGGATTATGGAGATGATTAAATGTAGTGATGTGCAGAAAGTACCTAATGTAGTTGCTGGCTTATTAAATGTTAGTTTTTTCTGCATCAGTGTCAGTTGCTAAGCCTGTACTTCAATAAGAGGTTTGAATGCAAAGGAAAAAGTCCACTTAAGATAGGTAAATTAAATACAAGGGTACTTCAAAAAATTCATGGGAAGATTCATGTTATCTTTTAATTCCATTTTTCCATGAACTTTTCGAAGTACCCTTGTATATTTGATTCTGGAATTTTGCATAGTTAATGGGGATTTTATGAACTTCCTAGGAAGTTGTTTTTTTCCTGAGTTATGATCTATGAATTATTAGTTGATAATAAGATCAGTATGTTTTAATTCACTCCTCAAATCTAACGTAGATAGTCTCTATTCCATGCTGGTAGTGGAGTATTATTATTTCTTTTTGGGTTCAGAGAAAAGTGATCAATATGGGAAAGGGACTCAGAACCTTGTCACATAAAAGGAACTGGGGATGTTTAGAAGAGAAACCCCAGGACGGATCTGAGAACTGACTTTAAGTGTTAAAGAAGTGATGTATAAAAAAGGTGCTGGGTATATTTCATATCACTGCCAGCATTACAACTAAGACCTCATGGAATGACAGTATTCAGCTGAGTATGAGGAAGAACTTTCAGGCAGATCTGTTCAAATATAAAGTGGTCTGCCTTGGATTCTAATAAATATTTACGTACCAAGATGTGAAACAGAAACTACACAATCAGAAAAAAAGTCTGGGACACCAATGCCCAGACTCCCAGTTATAAAGACCTCTTTTGTGTGCCAAAAGTGAGCATTCCTGCATGTGATAGTGGGTATAATTTATTATCAGGTTGGCATCATGACCCAAGAAATTGCAATGAATTCAGTAATTCTTTTAAATAAATGTATATTTTAAGAATGACTCTATTCATTCCTGGATTTTGGCACCAAAAACCAAAACCAAACAAACAAAAGAATGATTCTAGAATATACATACATTTGAAAAATAAATGAAAATATATGGGCAGACATTGATTCAGTCTTCAAGTAGGGATAGGTGGAAGTAATGATTCCCAGACCCCATAACTGCCACTTAAGTAGCAGTGTGGCTTCCAGAATGAGAACCACTGGCCTAGAATGAATATTTTTAAAAAAGGGGCTTCAGGGGCTGGCCCGTGGCTCACTCAGGAGAGTATGGTGCTGATAACACCAAGGCCACGGGTTCAGATCCAATATACAGATGGCCAGTTAGCTCACTGGGTGAGCGTGGTGTTGACAACACCAAGTCAAGGGTTAAGATCCCTTTACCGGTCATCTTTTAAAAAATAAAATTCCTTGGGCCAGCCCGGTGGTGCACTGCTATAGTGCGCCGCTTGGGAAGCGCGGCAGCGCTCCCGCCGATGGTTCGGATCCCACATGCAGACCTGTTCCCGCTCACTGGCTGGGCGAGGCGCGGGAGCAGCACCGAGGGCTGCGATCCCGTTGCCGGTCCCGGTCCGGTACGGGGGCGACACTGAGGGTTGCGATCCGTTGCCGGACACGGAAAAAGACAAAAAGGAAAAATAAATAAATAAATAAAATAAAATAAAAATAAAAAGGGATTTTAAAAAATGACTTGAGAATTTTCTAGGATTTTACCTTTCTTTCTTTTTCCCTATTGCAGAGCTGCAGCCATGTGACTGTTGTGGACAGAGCAGTGACCATCACAGACCTTCGATGAAAATTTGATTTGAACACCTTGCAAGAACTATAAAACTATATCAGTGTACTGTAGCCCCTTAATTTAAGCTTCCCAGAAAGCTTTGGAAGGTTTCTTAAACAGAATAGAAAAGGGGCATCATCTGGAGAAGAGCTGATACTCTGTGTCTGGTTTGAAAAGAAATAATTGAATACATTTTTTAGGCAAGCTGGAAAAGAGCATGATCACACTAAAGCAACTGTAACTCAAAAATTAAGTTGAAAGAATGGTATAATGAACTCCCATATACCCTTCATTCTAGATTCACCAATTGTTAACATTTTTTCCTCTCAACTATTCTAATTTCCTGCCAACTTGTTTATTATTTACCTTTGGACTAAATAAGGGCATCTATGTAGAAATTTGGAAGCCATTTAGAAAATCTTTCGGGTTTTCCTGTGGTTATGGCAATATTAATGGAGCTTATTTCAAGGGTGAGGGACAGTTCACTGCATCTGACCATATGGTGAGACTTACATGACCTGAAGAATAATTTTGTCAGGAATTATTGTTATTTAACAAATATTTCAGGATATTTTTCCTCTGCAATAAAATAACAGTTGACTTATTTTTTGTGCTCTAGAGTGATTCGTTTGATGAAGCATTGTAAAAACAGGTTAAGTGAAAGGTCTGGTTGTTTTGGGAAAGGTGAGGGGGAAATGGAATTTGAGATGTTCCGACACTGAAGGTGTGTCCCAGTTCACTTTTAATTATCCAATGTTTTTTCTCTACCTGTTGCTGTTTTCAGGGGTGTGAAGTCACCTCTGTTCTTTTGGCACTGTCTCAAGTGGGTCATCCTGTTCACTTCCTCACTTTGTCCTACAAGCTTTCAGCTGAGGATAATCGAGCCTTTGTTTGGAGTACCATGTTACACTCCAAATAAATGATTACATTCCCTAGCCACCCCTCCCTACCAATTTCATTGTGTTGGCTATTCTTTTCTGACATAGGCAATACCTAGGAAGGTGTTTGAAGCTGCAGTTGATACTGCATTTTTCTTTGTATGAACTTAGCCTAGTATTATTCTAAGATAGCCTAGAAATAATGGTTTTATTGGTGACACCTCAGTTTAGGGTAAGAATAAATACCTTGGATAGGAGAAGAATGATTTCTTTCTATATCAAAATTCTGTGGGGGAAAAATCTGTGAATGTATAAAGTTTTGCTTCATTTTAAAATATTGCGTCCTGAATATGTTCAGTCTTTAATGCTTAGGTTAGTGGTCCTTGAACCTTACCCCTGAAAGAGCCAAGCTTCTATATTCTTTTTCTTCTCTTGGGTTTTCAAACTTCCTATATAGCAGAAATTATTTCTTCTTGCAGTTTTTGGTATAGATCAGAATAGGAGGCCAAGTGGTTGGCAAGGGGAAGGGTGCCTCCTTTCCCTGCTATGGCCCAGTCACTTCCTCCTTTCTTCACTGTGGCCCAGAGGCAGCCTGGCTTTTCCACCTTTCCCTAAACAGTTGTAAAATTGCCCAGTTCTTTACTTTTCCCAGAAATGTGTCTCCTTTCCATTCTCCAGGCTACCACTTAGTTTAGGTCTTTATTACCTTTTACCTGGACTATTGCAATAGGTTTTTACCAGGTCTCTTTGTTTTCACTGTTTCTTCACTCCATTCTGCACACTACTCTGAGGAGATACTTCCCACCTTACAGCCATCCTCATGTTTCTTCTCTTGCTCAGAAACCTGCAATAGCTTTCCATCACCTAAAATCTAGATTTAGCTTTTGCGAATGTTCATTCTAAGCGTCAACTTGATTAGATTAAGGAATGCCAAGAGACCTGGCAAAGCTATCTTTTTAGGTGTGCCCATGACGGTGTTTCCAGCAGAGATTAGTATGAGAGTCTGAGTGGACTGGGTGGGAAAGATCCGCCCTCAATATGGGTGAGAACCATCCAATCCATTGGGGGCCCAGAGAGAACAAAAAACAGAAAAAAGGTGAATCTCTATCTCTAACTACTGGATCTGGGATATACTCTTCTCTCCTGTCCGTGGACATCAGAGCTCAAGACTCTTCAGCTTTTGGGTTCCAGGACTTACACCAAGGACACCATCTACATCCCTGGTTTTGAGGCCTTTGGACTTGGACTGAGCCATGCTACCAGCATCCAGTTTGCAGATGGCCTATTGTGGGACTTCTCTTCACAATTATGTGAACTAATTCCCTTAATAAATCCCCTCTCATATATTTATAACATATCCTATTGATTCTGTCTCTTTTGAGAACCCTGACTAATACAGCCTTTATTCAGAACTTTCCACCTATGGACACGTAAAGTTCTCACCCGTGGCTACACATTCAAATACCCAGGGAGGTTTTAAAAAAATACTAATACCCAGGCCCCACCCTACACCAATTAAATCTGGATCTCTGGGGTGGGGCTCCAGACATTGCTTTTGTTTTGTTTTGTTTTGTTTTGTTTTTTTAAAAGATGACCGGTAAGGGGATCTTAACCCTTGACTTGGTGTTGTCAGCACCACGCTCAGCCAGTGAGCAAACCGGCCATCCCTATGTGGGATCCGAACTGGGGGCCTTGGTGTTATCAGCACCGCACTCTCCCGAGTGAGCTACGGGCCGGCCCTTGTTTTGTTTTGTTTTTGATTTTGTCTTTTAAGCTGGTAGGATTCTCAAGTTTTCAGCCAGAAAATTCTCTCAGCCAGAGTTGAAAACCACTGCACCAGCCATTTTATATCTAATAATTATGAGCTCTCATCAGTCTCTGTACATCATAGCATTCAGCAAATGTTTGTTGAACCAAAGTGAACTGAATATATCATACATTGCAACCACATTGATCAGTGACTGATCACCATTTCTTGCCTCTGCCCCTGTGCACAAGTTATCTTAGTGGGTAGGTGGCTGCAGGAAATCAGTCTATAGACACCCTGCTTGCACCTGCTACAGCCTAGCCACCTCAGAGACACCCTGCACAGGGCTGTGTCTCTCCACCCTTCCTCCATGGGATAGGCAGTATCAAGCCAGCCTACAAGAAAACAGGAAGACTCGGTAGGCTGGTGGGAGAGAAGAGGAACCAGCATTATAGGGAAAGGAGGAAAAGAATATTGTGAATAAAAGGGATTCAGACCATGAAAACTGAGGAAAGAAGCTTATATTGAAAAGGTAACAACTACTCGGCAAAAGAGACTGACTCCTGGGCTCCTGAGCCTCAAAGGCCAGGAGGCTTTTCTGCTCCCCCAAGCCACATGAGTACCATGCTTAGTGGTCTGGGCTGAAGGGGAGGTAATGTCTGGTTGCATCCCAGTTGTCCTCAGAAGGACAGACCCTCCAAAGTACCACAGGCTAGGTGCAGAGAGACTCTGGAGGAGCTGCTTTGCCTGGGGTCAGGACAGGGTTGGGTTTTTGCAAATTGATCACTTTTACATACTTGTTAAATGGGCCAAAGAGGAAGAAGAAACCCTTAAGCCTTTATAATGTTTTCCTGGGTACCAGATACCTTAAAAGGCGGCATGGGAGAAACATTCCCTAGTGGGGTCAGTGTCATGGTGCATATTTCTTGTTTAAGCAAGAGTTTCAGCTTTCATTTGGGGAACACAGAATTTAAAATCCTAAGTGCCTATTCCCTTTGACTGTTGATTGCCTCTTCTGGGTCTCAGTTATTCCAGTGGAAGGAGAAATTTTTCATTTGGGGGTTGAGAGGAATGGAAACTTCTGGTAGCAAACTCTAATGAGCAAAGTCCAGTGAATCCTGCAACTTTGGTCTGTTTGAAATGGATTTTGAGGACATGATTTTAGGCCAGACCACATGTTGCTCCCTAGAAAATAGTTTAAGTCATCTGTTGGCATTGTGCCTCCCACCCCCTCATATCTCAGTGTTTTAATCCCACTTTGGATTGGAAACCAGTTGCCCAAGGATCTTTCAAGCATATGAGGCCAGAGTGGAACTTCTAAGTCAAGGCTCATTTCTTTTGATAGGGAGCTTTGCTCGGGGCACTGAGAAGGCTCGTTTGGATCAGGACCACTAGAACATTATCTTCTCTAGAGGAAGTGCCATATTGAACATTTTAGACTTTGCTTCTAGGCTCTACCTCAGATGAAGACAGAATAACATCCACATGCCAATGAGGCTTATAAAAGTTGAAAGATGCTAGAAAGATTTAAGGGATTTTTTATTTGTATCTCTCAAATTGTTAAAGTTGAGGTGCCGTTGCTTCCACCTATTAGACCTCTGCCCCATCCAACTTCCAGCTAGAAGACTCTTCAGTCAGATTCACATTCTTTCTCACTAGCTGGGCTTCAGCTCCAAATCTCTCTCTGGTCTGTCCTGATGTTCTGAGCTGGAAAACTGAGGACCTCAAGAACCATAAGAACCATTCCAAATTTCTACTCATTTTTCCCTAAGACCTAGAGCAGAGCCAGGGCCTAAAGAAACTACATCCTGGCTTTTTTCCCTTGGCTCCACCCACTCTTGTTTGAACCTCCCCCTTCTGTTGTTCCAACTACCTCTTGAGATAAAAGAAGAGGAAGAGAACTTTGACCCTCTTCACTGAAGTCTTCACTCCTTAATCCAGGATTAAATTTTTAGTTAAACTTAGTTTACTTGAAGTTAGAGCAGGGCTTTAAACTTAGAGGGTGTGTCTAGCATCATTCACTGAGCCTGTTAAATCTGGGATCCAGGCCTGTGGCCCTCTATAACCATGGGCTCTTGTGTCCTCCTTTGGTGATCAAACAGGTTACTCTTAGGACTTGGTTCAAGTTCCACCTCCTCAAGTGTCTTCTCACTGATAAATTCACTCTGAGGGCTTTCTTCCTTGAACTCCAATGACAATGATAGCCTGTTCCCCACAATTTGGTGTGTGGTTTTTTGCTGCTTTACAGTGTGTTCTTGTCTTTTTATGTGAGTCATGCCTCTGAACTATCATGTAAATTCTATTGGGGTAGGGACAATGTTTGCTTTATGTAATGTGTTAAGTGCTTTACAGTCAGTATAGCACTTCCTTATTGCTTATCTGTTCCTTGAAATAGTGTCCTTGGTATTGAATCGTGTTAGGAAGCCAGGTGGACCTGTGCCCCAGCCTGGAGAAGCTCTACCCCCACCTTGTAGAAAACCATCTTGACTCCTTGACTCAACATCCTATCTTGGGCCTGTGCTGCAGTTGAGCTCTCTTCTAGCTGCCAGGACAGATGGTTGTTCTGCCCATCAGGCTCATTTAATAGGTGGTCAAAGGAAGAAGTGCCTGCAAAGAAGGGAAAGAGGTAGGAGGAAACCATAAGATAATGACACCACTATCTTGTCACAGAAACCAAGGAAGGCAATAGTTTCAAGAAAGGGAGGTTAGTGGTGCCAGATGGCTCAGAAGAGGTTTTCTGGGCTAAATCCCAAAAGGAGTCCATGGGATCTGGCAGTTAGCAGAGGTCTTTCCTGTCAACCCTATCTAAAGCCTTCTTTACTGTCTGTGTAGCAATGTCACCAGCTAAAATCATGCTTTTGTTTATTTCTAGCTTATGTGTCTAAGGTATACTCCTTGAGAACAGCAACTTTGTCTTGTTCACCTTTGCATTCTCAGCTCCCAGAATTGTGCCTGTAGTAAGGTATTTATTCATATGTAGT